TGCAGTGAGCTGAGATTGCGTCACTTCACTCCAGCCTGGGAACAGAGCCAGACTCCATCTCAAAAATAAAAATAAACAAAATAAAGTACTGCACAGCTGGGCACAATGGCTCATGCCTGTAATCTCAAGACTTTGGGAGGCTGAGGCAGGAGGATTGCTTGATGCCAGGAGTTCAGGACCATCCTGGGTGACATAAGGGGACTCTGTCTCTATAATGAATGAAAGAATGAATGAGGCCAGGTGTGGTGGATCACAAGGTCAGGAGTTCGAGACCAGCCTGACTAACATGGTGAAACCTCATCTCTACTTAAAATACAAAAATTAGTCAAGCATAGTGGCAGGCACCTGTAATCCCAGCTATGCAGAAGACTGAGGCAGGAGAATCGCTTGAACCCGGAAGTTGCAGTGACCTGAGATTGTGCCACTGCACTCCAGCCTGATTGACAGAGTGGGACTCTGTCTCAAAAAAAGAATGAATGAATATACACACCCATGTGTCCCAGGGGGTTTCAAGGCCAAAGTCACCTGGCTGTAACTTCCCCAACCTGTAGGTTATGCAGACCCTGGAACCGAAGCAGCGGCCAGCTGCCGGGGCACCCCCAGACCTTCACACCCTGAAGACAAAGCTCCGAGAACGGGATGTCCGCATCCGGCACCTGGAGGTGGGTGTCCTCGTCCCTTTATGCTGCCTCCAGCATATCCAGGTCCCTGAAACTTGCCTCCTTGACAGATGGACTTTGAGAAAAGCCGAAGTCAGCGGGAGCAAGAAGAAAAGCTGCTCATCAGTGCCTGGTGTAACATGGTGAGTATGAGGTCTGGGCTCTAAGATCTCATGGGTAGAGTATTTTAGGGGTCCTGTGGGCTCACCTGATCCCAACTGCACCTCCTCCTGAAGGGCATGGCCTTGCAGCAGCGAGCCGGGGAAGAGCGGGCACCTGCCCATGCCCAGTCATTCCTAGCACAGCAGCGGCTGGCAACCAATGCTCGCCGTGGACCCCTGGGACGCCTGGCATCTTTGAGCCTTCGCCCCACCGACAAGCACTGACAGACCTCATGATCCAGCCAGCCAGGGCTCCATCCACCCTGGCTTCCTCCAACTCACGTGGCGCCCAGCATTGGGCTTCAGCCAGCGGCTTGAGAGCCTTGAGGTCATGACCTCCACCCTTCGCTCTCCCAGATTGGTGGGGAGGGAGGGCGGGAGGTAGATATAGGACTGTTCATTTTAGCAATGTGATTCTTATCGTTGATTCTCTCTCTGGAGTTCATGTGCTGCCTAGGGAGAGTCTGATTTTATATTTGAGAAAAATAAAGACTTTCAATCTTTGGCTGTGCTCTGGGCACCATGGTAAGGGAAAGTGGGCCAGGGGATTAGCCCATTGCTTTTAAGAAAAGCTTGATTTGGCTGGGCATGGTGGCTCATACCTGTAATCCCAGCACTTTGGGAGGCTGAGGCAGGCGGATCACAAGGTCAGGAGTTTGAGAGCAGCCTGGTCAATGTGGTGAAACCCCATGTCTACTAAAAATACAAAAATATTTAGCCAAGCATGGTGGCAAATGCCTGTAATCCCAGCTACTTGGGAGACTGAGGCAGGAGAATTGCTTGAACCCGGGAGGCAGAGGTTGCAATGAGCTGAGACTGCTCCACTGCACTCCAGCCTGGGCAACAGAGCAAGACTTTGTCTCAAAAAAGGAAGGGTAAGGTAGGAGAATGGCTTGAGCCAGAAAGGTGGAGGCTGCAGTGAGTAGAGATCAAGCAACTGCACTCCTGTTTTAGACGAAAATGTCTGCCTTCATGAAGCTGAGGGTAGACAGGCCGACATTAAAGTAGATAAAACAAAAGCTTGATATGAGAAGAAATATCACAGAGGAAAATAAAGCTGCAATAAGTGATGGGGTTAGAAGTGGTAGACTTGAGAGTTGTCAATTTATAATAAACGGCCAGAGGCTGGGCACCATGGCTAAAACCTGTAATCCCAGCACTTTGGGAATCTGAGGTGGAAGTATCTCTTGACCACAGGAGTTCCAGACCAGCCTGGGCAACATACTGAGACCTCGTCTGTACAAAAATTTTAAAAATTAGGGGTGGTGGGGTGGCTCACGCCTGTAATCCCAGGACTTTGGGAGGCCGAGGTGGGTGGATCACCTGAGGTTGGGAGTTTGAGACCAGCCTGACCAACATGAAGAAACCCCATCTCTACTAAAAACAAAAACAAAATATTAGCTAGGCATGGTGGTGAACTGTGGTTATAGCTACTCAGGAGCCTCAGGTGGGAGGATTGCTTGAACCTGGGAGGTGGAGGCTGCAAAGAGCTGTGATTGTCCCACTGCACTCCAGCCTGGGCACCAGAGCGAGACTCCATCTCCAAAAAAAAAAGCCAGAAAAGGAGGCCTCATCAAAGAAGTGACATCAGTGAAGGAGAGACCTGAGGGAGAGGCCATGTAGGTATCTGGGGAAGATCCAGGCAGAACAGTTTGTGCAAAAGCCGTGAGTTGAGAGCTTGCTTGATGTGCTAGAGGAACAGTAAGGGGCCATAGTGGAGTGGAGTGAATGAGAAAGCAGATGAGGGTGGGGAGATTATTCAGGGATTTGTGAGCTGCAGGGAGTACTTTAACTTTTTTTTTTTTTTTTTTTTTTTTTAAGACTGGGTTTCACTGGGCGTGGTGGCTCACGCCTGTAATCCAAGCACTTTGGAGGCCAAGGCAGGCAGATCACCTGAGGTCGGGAGTTTGAGATCAGCCTGACCAACATGGCGAAACCCTGTCTTTAAAAAAAAAAGAAAAAAGAAAAAAAACTGGGTTTCACCATATTGGTCAGGCTAGTCTCGAACTCCTGACCTCAAGTATCCACCCGCCTCGGCCTCCCAAAGTGCTGGGATTACAGGTGTGAGCCACCACTCCCAGCCTGTACTTTTAACTTTTATCCTAAGTGTAGTGGGAGCCATGGAAGATTCCAAGCAAGGAGGGATGTGACCTGACTCGGGTGTTCGTAGGCGCCCTCTGGTGGCCACTCTGAGAGAAACAGGCTTAGGAGGCCGGGGCCAGAGCTGGAAGACCAGGTTGGTAGTCCATGTGGGTGGGTGAGTGATAGTGAAGGTTCTGGCCAGGTTGAGAGCCCTGGAGCGAGAAATGGTTGGATTCTAGATACGATTTAATGGTAAGGCTGGCAGGGTGTGGTGGCTCACACCTGTAATCCCAGCACTTTGGCCAACATGATGAAACCCCATCTGTACTAAAAATAAAAATTTACTGGGTGTATTGGCAGGCACCTGTAATCCCACCTACTTGGGAGGCTGAGGCAGGAGAATCACTTGAATCTGGGAGGCAAGGGTTGCAGTGGGCTGATTGCACCGTTGCACTCCAGCCTGGGTGACAAGAGCGAAACTCCATCTCAAAAATAAAAAAAAATAATTAAGGCAAAGCTGATGGGATTTGCTGCTGGGTTGGTGTGGCCACTGGGTTGATGTGATAGCCTGTGACAGGAAGAGAAATCCACATAACTACTTTTGACCTCATCATCTGGAAGGACACAGCTAACACACAGGGTTGGGCAGACTGGGGAGTTGATTAGGAGCTGGATTTCAAGTGTGTTAGGTTTGAAGTGCTTGCGAGATTTCTGCAAGGAGACATCTAAGAGGCAGTTGGCTTTCTGGGTCTACAGTTAGAGAAAGGATCCTGGCTGGATTTCTTCCTTCTTTTCCTTTTCTTTCTTTTTGAGATTTTTTTTTTTTTTTTTTTTTGAGATGGAGTCTTGCTCTATCTCCAGGCTGGAGTGCAGTGGCGAAATCTTGGCTCATTGCAACCTCTGCCTCGCAGATTCAAGCAATTCTCCTGCCTCAGCCTTCTGAGTATGGTCTCAATCTTCTGACCTCGTGATCCACCCACCTCAGCCTCACAAAGTGCTGGGACTACAGGCATAAGCCACCGCACCCAGACTTTCTTTTCTTCTTTAGATGGGGTCTCACTCTGTTGCCCAGGCTGGAGTGTAGTGACACAATCTCACCTCACTGCAACCCTCGCCTCCCGGATTCAAGCAATTCTCCTGCCTCGACCTTCCGAGTATCTGGGATTACAGGCATGTGCCACCACACCCAGCTACTTTTTTTAAATTTTAGTAGAGATGGGGTTTCACTATGTTGGCCAGGCCTGTCTCAAATGATCCACCTATCTCTGCCTCCCAGCTGGGATTACAAGCATTAGCCCCACCACGGCAGGGCCTTTTTTTTTTTTTTTTTTTTTTTTAGACAGGGTCTTGCTGTGTTGCTCAGGCTGGAGTGCAGTGGTGAGATCACAGCTCACTTCCTTAGCTGGACTTTTATATTCAGGAGTCATCAGTTCATATAATTAAATTAGTAAGACCTAAAGCCCTGAAGGCCTGAGAATGTAGAGGCTTGGGACAAGAAGAAGCCATGATCCTGGGACAGTGGCTGGCTCATTAATAAGTAATGCCAGGGCACTGATGTGGGTATTTTCAGAGAGCAGAGCTTGGGAAGAAGTAAGCAGGGCACCATTATAAAAGCTGGAAGAGGTGAAACCCCATCTCTACTAAAAATACAAAAAGTTGGCCGGGTGCTGTGGCTCACGCCTGTAATCCTAGCACTTTGGGAGGCCGAGGTGGGTGGATCACCTGAGGTCCGGAGTTCAAGACCGGTTTGGCCATCATGGTGAAACCCCACCTTTAAAAAAAAAATACCAAAAGTTAGCCAGGCGTGGTGGTGTGCACCTGTTATCCCAGTTACTCGGGAGGCTGAGGCATGAGAATCACTTGAACCTGGAGGTGGAGGTTTCAGTGAGCCAAGATCGTACCACTGCACTTCAGCCTGGGTGGCAAAGTGAGACTTTGTCTCAAAGAAAAAAACAAGCCTGGAATAAGCTCGGCTTGGTGGTTGTGGTGGAGGAGGAGGAGAGGAAAAGGAGGAGAAAGAAGAAGAAAGAAGAAACCTGCAAGAACTCCCAAATCTTACTTAGCATAATGCCTGCCAGGAGAAATCAGACTAACAACATTTGAGTAAAAACCACTAGCAATTTATTGAGCATCTACTGTATACCAAATGCTTTAATGTCATTTTCATTTCATCCTCACGAAAGCTCCATGAGGTAGTCACTCACATCGCCACTTGAAGGAAAGAATTCAGGCAGGACAATGATGGAGACCTCTCAAGCAGTGGGGGTTGGGAAGGAGGGCTGGTGGTCAGGGTGGGCTGGTCCAAGAGTCTGGAAGAACCCCCGCCCCAGCACAGTGCCAAACCCCAGCGGGCTGCGAGAGCTGGTCAAAAGTGCAGGTGGACTTGACGAAGGTACACGAGGCTTATCCAGACCTGGACTCCTGCCTGTGTGCCCTGCAGGGACCTGGTTCGCTGTCCTTAGGGGGCTGGGCTCTTAGATTTCAGGCCAGATTCTCCTCCTCCTCGCCGATAGGGCTGGGCAGCCAGGGTGGTGCCGGACCCCGGGGCCCGGGCACGGTCACGGTGGTAAAGGGCTCGGCAGGCCCAGGGATGAGGCCAAGCGGTTCAGGACCCGCAGGGGGCGGGGGCTCGGGCTCTGGCAGGCCGGGGTCGAGCGGCGGGTCCCTGCAGCTGCACTCCGGGGCTGCGCCTTCGGGGACAACCGCGCATGAGCAGCTGGCCCCGGTAGACGCCTCCGACACGCAGCTGTTCTTGCGTAGTAGAAAGGACAGGCGCCGGCCCAGCGGGCCTCCCCCGCCCATGCCCGCGCCCGCCGGCAGGAGGCGCTGCAGGAAGTCGCCGGGCGCCTCGCCAACCGGCCCATCCAAGCCTTCCAGCCTCTGGAACTGCATGTCTTCTTTGGCCAGCCTGCGGGACGGACAGTGGGGTGAGCCAGCGCTGCGGTCTCGCCTTTTGTTGACAGAGCGGGGTCCCAGGCTTTCAGATTTCCCTGACTCCACCGCCCCTTTGTCCCACTTATCCCCAAAGACCTTAGCTCCTAAACCCAGAGCCTCGCCTCACCCCATGTTTCCACTTAAACTTAGATCTCAGGCCGAGCACGGTGGCTCACACCTGTAATCCCAGCACTTTGGGAGGCCTGGGTGGGCGGATCACGAGGTCAGGAGTTCGAGATCAGCCTGACCAACATGGTGAAACCTTGTCTCTACTAAAAATACAGAAATTAGCCGGTAAGGTGGTGGGCACCTGTAATTCCAGCTACTTAGGAGGCTGGGGCAGGAGAATCGCTTGAACCCGAGAGGCAGAGGTTGCAGTGAGCCGAGACCACTCCATTGCACTCCAGCCTGGGCGACAGAGCGAGACTCCGTTTCAAAAAAAAAAAAAAAAAAAAAGTCTGCTCGCCTCGGACTCCCAAAGTGTTGAGGATTACAGGAGTAAGCCACTGCCCCCAGCTGATTTTTATTTTTTGAAATGGAGTTTTACTCTTGTTGACCAGGATGGAGTGCAATGGCGTGATCTTAGCTCACTGCAACCTCTGCCTCCCAGGTTTACGTGATTCTCCTGCCTCAGCCTCCTGAGTAGCTGGGATTAAAGGCATGCGCCACCAAGCCCAGCTAATTTTGTATTTTTATTAGAGATGGGGTTTCACCATGTTGATCAGGCTGGTCTCGAATTCCTGACCTCAAGTGATACACTCGCCTTGGTCACCCCCACATCCGGGATTACAGGCCAGAGCCACAGCGCCTGGCCTTCATTTTAATTTTTTTAGGGACAGGCTCTTGCTCTGTTGCCTGGGCTGGAGTTCAGTTATGTCATTATGACTCACTGCAGCCTCATACTCCTGGGCTCAAGTGATCCTCCTACCTCAGCCTCCTGAATAGCTGGGACTACAGGTGCACACCACCACGCTTGGATAATTTTTTATTTTTAGTAGAGACGGGGGTCTCATTATGTTGCCCAAGCTGGTCTGAACTCCTGGGCTCGCTCAATCCTCCCACCTTAGCCTCCCAAAGTACTGGGATTACAGGCATTGAGCAACTGCTCCTGGCCTCAGCCCTCATCTCCTTTGGTATCATGTCTGACTCGTCTGATCCTCGATAACCTCAGCCCTTAGCTCTGTCCCCACTCAGTGGCCCGGTCTCAGACCTTGACCCTGTACCCTGACTCCTACCTTAGCCTCTGCTCTTATCACAGTTCTGAGAATTTTGCTCTTATCCCCATTTCTAGAGTTGAGTCCCCTTAATTTTTTTTTTTTTTTTTAGACGGAGTTTCGCTCTTGTTGCCCAGGCTGAAGTGCAATGGCAGGATCTCGGCTCATTGCAGCCTCTGCCTCCTGAGTTCAATTGAGTCTCCTGCCTCCACCTCCAGAGTATCTGGAATTACAGGCATGCGCCACCACACCTGGCTAATTTTGTGTTTCTAGTAGAGACGGGGGTTTCTCCATGTTGGTCAGGCTGGTCTTGAACTCCCGACCTCAGGTGATCCACCCGCTTTGGCCTCCAAAGTGCTTGGATTACAGGTGTGAGCCACCACACCAGGCCCCCTTAATCTTTTCAATCAGATGCGTCCTGCAGAGCCTTAAGCCCTGCCCCAGGCAGCCCTGCCCACCTCACCCACTAGCTCACGTGATGTCGAAGGTGGAGCCCTGGAAGGAGGGCTGCCGCAGCTGGAAGACCGTAGCCGCCGTGTAGGGAGCGCGAGCCTCGGCAGCGTCCCAGTACAAGTCCTTCTCCAGCACAGCCAGGTCGTCATACATCTCGTCCACTGCCAGCATGGACACCTACGAGTGCAAACACGCAAGGTACAGTGGGGGTAGGGCAGTGCACCGGGACCACGGGGTGAACCCCTCTGGGTGGGTGGGGACCACAGAGGGAAGAGTGGTCCAGGACGAGACCTGGCAAGTCTTGGTAGGCCTGGGACCAGGATCCTGTTGAGCACTCTGGAATGATCTCACCTGGAGCCTGAGTCTCACCTGGAAGTTTCGATCGATCAGAAAGTTGGTCTCAAAGTCATCGTCATCCTCTCCAAAGGGGTTGATGAGCTGTTCAGCTACCTGAGTGGAGAGGGAGGAGTTAGGTGGAAACCTGGGAACCCCGTGCCCGCCCCACCCATGAAATTCCAGTCTGGAGCACCCACTTACCTTGAGCCAACCGGCGTAGAAGAAAAACTGCAGTAGGGTGAAGATGGGCACACACAGGTCTAGGTCATGGTCTTTGTAACCCTGAGCTGGGTCCAGGAACTGGCGACCAATGAGGCAAGCCAGGAAGTAGCTGTACAGTGCGATGGTCACCACCTGGGCAGTGCGGGGCAGGGCTCAGGGCGGTCATTGAAGGCCAAGGCTAGGATTGGGCATCATTATGACAGGGGCCATAGCTAGCTCTCAGTCCCCTTGAAATCATGCATCAGGGCCACTGACATCGAATATCAACGGAGGCGTGACGGGGTTACCTGGGTGTAGACGAGGGGTACGCTAATCCAGTCGTAGTGAAAGAGCATTCCACATTTGCCCCGAAACACATTCAGCTCCTGAGGGTAGATACAGGTCATGAGGTGGCCTGAATGGTGAGCTCACACAGGGATATTGAGTGTGGGTGCCTGGGATGGAGGTGGGTCGTCACCTGGTGGGAACTGGGAGTGTGCTTTGGGGGTTCTAGGGAGGGTATTTTGTGGTGGATGTGCACCTGGGGTAAGGGACCATGCATCCAGGGGCTGCCCATGAGGGCGTTGGAATCTGCCCCATGGAGGTAAGTGTGCACCTGGTAAAGGTGCTTGAAGTCGGCCTCGTAGGGGTGCGCAGCGGGCCGCCGTTGATACAGCTCCAGGGGTACAATTTCCCTGGTATTCTACATGAATGACCTCCTAGTGGGCCCACCTCGAGCAGCAGCTTAAGGGCGCTGTTGTCACGGATGCGGCCCTCGCGCCGCGCCTGCGCCGCCAGGTTGGAGAACCAGACGCACGGCACCCAGTACTTGTTGTAGGACGAGTTCAGGTTTTCGAACTTCTTGCGCTCCTCGCGGGTCATAAACCCTGGAGGAACGAGGTCAGGGATAGCTCGCCCCTCGCCACCCTCCACCCGGTCCTTGCCAGATCCCCTCGTTGCCTCTGGCCAGGGACTCACCCGCCTCCACCACGTGGTCTATGGTGGGGAAGCGCTTGAACACCGCGGTGCTGACAGAGCGCAGGATGAGCACTGCCGAGAGTCCTGCATAGCGCATGAGTGTGCGCCGGTAGAGGCGGCCGCGCTCGTCGCGTCCGTGCACGGTGCCCGCCACCACGCACATGAGCGCGTCGGGCAGTGGCATGCATAGGTACTGGTTCCACCAGCGGTGCACCACCAGCGTCACGTAAAAACCTGCAGGGGAGCGCGGAATGGGGGCTCAGTGGGGACACCAGGGCCAGGAGTTTGGGCACCCAGATTGTGGGAGAAGGGGCAACATAGGGGCTGCATCAGGGAAACCTGAGTAGGCTCGCCAACCTGATCAGCTTGGGCTGGGAACTTGGGGGTTCAGCCCTGAGATCAGAAAGGCCAAAGCAACCCTTTTGGGTCACTGGCTACTTGGGAGTCGGATGTGGCATTGGGATCCCAGTATGGGATAGAGACACAGAACCCATGTTAGGGGCATGTGGACAGACTGTTGCTTGCTGTGAGGGTGTAGGAACCTAAAACAAGGAGAGGGGGGCCTGGTTTGTGGGGGTGTACATCAGGGACACCTGGTCAGGCTTGTCACAATAGCCACACCCAGCCCCTAAGTCAGGAACTTCTGAAGGGGTTGGGGACAGGGTCTACATCAGGGAGCTTTGGGCAGGCTGGGGTCACATGTGGTCACTGGGGGACCAGGACTTAGAGAAATGCCCCCAGGCTGGAATTGAGAGGATGGAGTCCTATGGGGTCCCTGGAGGATTAGGGGGTTGTCCCCCCTAGTAACACAACAGACACTGGTGAGAATCCCCAGGGTGACCAGAAATAAGCCTGTGGGTGAGACGGAGCTCTCCTGGAGGTACCTCAGGGGGCACTGTGACTTAGGTGACACCCCAGGTCTCAGATGTTCGGGGCCACATCTGGCATCTTCGTAGTGTGGATCCAAAACTAGGGGGGTGTGGTGGGGTAGGATTTGAGGGGAGAGTCTCAGAGGGGCAGAAATGGGGGCTCCTCAAAAGGCATGAATGGAAATGGGTTTCTCAGGGACATAGGAACGGGGGACTTGGGGGCTGGACCGCACCAAGCACGAAGGAAACAGGAATGAGGCTGGCATACTGGTCGCAGTAAATGACAAGCTTCTCAAAGTAGCGCTTCTGCCCTTCCTTGAGCACAAAGCTGCAGGGTAAAGAAGAGGGGTCACAGGTCACAGGGGCGACTCTGTTCCCAGCTTCAGATCTCTCTTGCTGTACCCCTCTCCCTGGCCTCCTCTTATACTAGCTGCTCCCAGCCAGGCACAGTGGCTAATGCCTGTAATCCCAGCACTTTGGGAAGCCGAGGTAGGAGGATCACTTGACATCAGAAGTTCAAGGCCAGCCTGCCCAACATAGTGAAACTCCGTCTCTGCTAAAAATACAAAAAATTAGCCAGACACGGTGGCTGGCACCTGTAATCCCAGCTACTCCGGAGGAGGCTGAGGCAGGAGAATCACTTGAACCAGGAGGCCGAGGTTGCAGTGAGCCAAGATTGTGCCACTGCATTCCAGCCTTAGTGACAGAGTGAGACTTCATCTCAATTAAAAATGTATACTGGGTACAGTGGCTCAGGCCTGTAATCTCAGCACTTTAGGAGGCTGAGGAGCAAGAATCACGAGGTCAGGAGTTAGAGACCAGCCTGACCAACATGGTGAAACCCTGTCTCCACTAAAAATACAAAAAATTAGCTGGGTGTGGTTGCAGGCAGCCTGTAATCTCAGCTACTTCGGAGGCTGAGGCAGGAGAATCACTTGAACCCAGGAGGTGGAGGTTGCAGTGAGCCGAGATCCTGCCATGGCACTCCAGCCCAGGTGGCAGTGCGAGACTCCATCTCAAAAAAATATATACAAGGCCGGGCGCGGTGGCTCAAGCCTGTAATCCCAGCACTTTGGGAGGCCGAGGCGGGTGGATCACGAGGTCAAGAGATCGAGACCATCCTGGTCAATATGGTGAAACCCCGTCTCTACTAAAAATACAAAAAATTAGCTGGGCATGGTGGCGCGTGCCTGTAATCCCAGCTACTCAGGAGGCTGAGGCAGGAGAATTGCCTGAACCCAGGAGGCGGAGGTTGCGGTGAGCCGAGATCGCGCCATTGCACTCCAGCCTGGGTAACAAGAGCGAAACTCCGTCTCAAAAAAAAAATATATATATATACATATTATATTATATATTTTTATTATATATTATATATATAGTGCAGAGAAGGCTAAAAGAACAAAAAATATGTATTTTATATATATATATATATATATATATATATATATATTATGTGTTAGATATATAATAGCTGCCCCCCTCCCCTCGAACACGAGCACCCCGGGGCAGCCTCACCGGTAGGCGGCACTCAGCGCCATGTAGAACCCAAGGAAGCAGAGCAGCTCTCGCCACAGGAGTTTATAGATGCTCCCACGCCACAGCAGCAGCAGCTGGGAGAAGCCCCCGAAGCGGGCATTCGCCACTCGGGCTGTGTAGGTGACGGTCATCGTGGCACCTGGCAGGTGCGGCCAAGGGAGACTGGGTGGCCTGGGTGGTGGCTGCGGGTCGGGGTGGAGAGGTGCGGGCATAACTGAGCACAGCGACCCCACCCATGTTCCGGCCGGCCGTCCCCTCAGTCCTGAACCTTGCCTGAGTTGCCTTCTCCCAGCTGTACCCAGTCCCAGCCCAGCCCCCAGTGCCCCTCCCTTACCCGAGTCTCAGGCTGTCCCCTTCCTTGGACTCCTGGTGCCAGGCTCTGTACCTGCCATCCCCTACCACCAAGACCCTTGAGTCCCTGCAGTCAGCTTCCGAGTCACCCCCTGACCAATCCCCTTCACCTAGACGCCACCTATAGCATCCCCCAGTCCGAGAGTCCCCAGCGCCTGAGTTTCTAGGTTCTCAAGGCTCTACCTCCCCCAAATTCTCTCCCTCAGCCCCTATTTCTGGTTCCCCTTTCTCTGCTTCTCCAGCTCCCAGTCTTGACCCATTCCACTCCCTGCACTCCCTCTGAAGCCCAGTCCCTATGCCTCCGGGTCCCCTACCCCCCTGCCCCAGCTTGTCCACCTTCCATGCCCCTGGCTCCCCCGACTCCCTTTTCCTCCCAGATCCACCTTGACCTTTCCTCTCTCCAGCCTTCCAAGCCCTCTACTCCTGGGCCCCAGAGGACTCCGGATGCATTCCTGCCCGCAGGTTCCCTATTCCCTCAGGGCCCCCTATTGCCCCAAGCCTGGGCTCATCTCACCTGTGTTGAAGGTGGCCGGTACAGCGACACACGGGGACAGCGATGGAATGGGCGGGTGGCTTCGGTGTTGGGTGGGGCTGGGGAGTGGGCGTGCCACCCCTTCCTGGTCCTCCTCCCTCGGCTGGGTTGCAGCTTCAGAACTTTTGTTTGAAGTTCCACAAGTTTGTTACCTGGCACTGGGGGAAGATATCCGCTTCGTCCTCCCTTGCCCCTCCCTGTTCCCCTCTTAGTCACTCACTGGCAGGTCCTAGGGATCTGGAACCCAGAGGTTGGGGGAGGAGGCAGGGATGGTCTTTTTCCCAGTCCCAGACACACACACACACACACACACACACACACACACACACACACACACTGCTCAGTGAGGCTGGGTCACTCCACAGTCACCTGTAATCCCACAGTGTCACAGAGATGCATGCAGAAACACATATCATAGTCCCAGACACAAACCCAGCTGCTTTGAATACAGCCTCAGCCAGGCAACATGGCTCACACTTGTAATCTTAGCACTTTGGTAGGTGTAGGTGGGAGGATCACCAGAGTCAGGAGTTCAAGACCAGCCTGGGCAACATAGTGAGAGTCCCCATCTCTCTTGAAAAACCAAAAAGCCTCACATAATTATGGTGACCCAGAGGGGCAGTACACACTGTCACAGAGGCTTCTGGGGTCACACAAGACTACCTACCTTGACCTCCCCATCACGCATATATAAGGCAGGTGGACTCTGACATACCACCCTCTGCTCTCACATGCAGTGCTCCCAAAAGTCCAATTCCCTCATGATCACACCACGTAACAAAGACACCCACACAACCAGCCAAGTGCAGACCCCACCCAGACCACAGAATGCCTTCACACACAGTCTTACACCATTGCAACGAAGTTTTGTTCCCGAGTTCCCCTGTGTAAAGATGCACCCATGATCACACCCCAAATGCAAAAACCCCTTCCTCAGCGCAGCGACACACAATCCCAGGATCAGAGTGGGCTCTGGTGGTCCCTGAGGTCCCCTAATCTAGCAAAGACACACACAACAGCTACCATTCTCTCAAGGGACCCCTAGCTGTCACTGCTAGTGAAACTCACCAGCATTTGCACATCAATGTGTGAAGGCAACCCCCTTTCCAATGTTCCCTCCCAGCGGCATGCCCAGACCCATACGCACAGGTCCCAGACACTCTCAGCGTTGCCACAAACACACAAGCTTGGGGACACAAAACCTTGTCCTGAATTTGGCATGGATTCAGGACAGATGTTCATTATTCACAAACACACCTGTAAAGGGGGCACTCCCAGCCTGGTACAAATGATACCCACTTCCCCTCCATAGCCCAGCTTGGAGGACATTCACACACAGATTGGTGTGAGAGGGACAGAGGCTCAGGGGTAAAACCCTGGGACGGGCATCCTAGAGTGCTCAGGAGCCCCTTGTGCATTCTGCACGGCCCCACCCGAGGTCCCAAGCCTGGCAGGCCAGGACGGGACACTGTGTTCCCAGACTGGCAGATGTTTGCCCTGCCCAGGGTAATTAGGAACCAGCCTGGGCTGGCCACCCTCCGACCTGCGCCTTCGCTGTCCAGCTGCCGGACAGCCCATAAATGGGGCGAGGGGGAAGCTGGGGTGGTGCCGTCAGCTGCAGACGAGGAGGTGGCAGGCTGGGTGCTGAGGAGCTCAGTTCCAGATCGGCAGCCCCTACTCCCTAGGAAGTGTCTTGCATTCACTAAAGCCGGCTCCTCCTTTTCATCCTCCCTCCCGCAGCTGACCCGCAGCCCCACACACTTCCGACAGCTGAACTCCCGCAGGGGCTGGGGGCAGGTTTCCTGAGCTAGTTGACAGGCTTACTAATTGTGCCAAGGAAAAATAACAAACATTTCTTGGGGTTTCCTGCCTGGTGCTGGTAAAAATGCCTTGTGTGTTTCATCTCATGGAATCTTTACAGGCATACTAAGTCAGTCAGTTACTATCCAAGTAGGGAAACTGAGGCTCCGATGTCACATCTCATCTTGTTCGTAGCACAGCTGGGATTTGGATCCTGGCAGTTTGGCACGAGCTGGCTGTACCATTGTGTTTGTTTTACACATGCCACCCCAACAGGCCCACACCTGCTTGTGCACACCCTAGGGAGCTGGGGGGACAAGTCTAGGCCCCTGGTGGGGTTCCCCTTACACACACCCTGGCACACCCAGACTCTGGATATGCACAGTCTGAACACTTTTTTTTTTTTTTTGAGACAGGGTCTTACTCTGTCTTGGCTCACTGCAACCTTTGCCAATGCGGTTCAAGCAATTCTCCTGCCTCAGCCTCCCAAGCCCCGCCGCCCCGGCTAATTTTTGTATTTTAAGTAGAGATGAGGTTTCACCATTTTGGCCAGGCTGGTCTCAAACTCCTGGCCTCAAGTGATCCACCAGCCTTGGCCTCCCAAAGTGCTGGAATTATAGGTGTGAGCCACCGCGCCCGGCCTGAACACCACTTTCTGATTTGCGTGTCCGCAGGACCCCCTTTCCGTCCCCCTAGCCAGCTCTGGCTTGGAACTTGTAAACTCTCAAGGTCATGCCCCATCCTGAGTCTCCAAGTGGGGACAATAGCAGCCGAAGCAGTGGCAGAGGGAGGAGCGACAGGCAGGGAATAAGGGGGCCCACTAGGTGCCTTCCAGGCCTGTGTGCTCACAGCCTATGAGACCGCTCTGGAGTCAGGATGGGACTTCAGGAGCCCCTCCAGCCAGAGCCCACTGTCACCCTGCCCACTAACCAGCCCCCTTGCTGCAGCCTTGTTGGGAGGGGCTGATGTCATCCCATGGGGGCAGGAATTGGGGGGTGGAGACTGTTAATCCCCAGTCTGGCAGGCCCAGCCTCTGCCCAGGGCGCCCACTAATTCCCAAACCAAACAGCAGGCAGCGGCGGGCCCACTGCCGGCCTAATCAGCTCCCCGCCAGCCTGGGGCTGGCCAAGGGGCCTCCCAGTTCCCAAGCTCTGAGCTTCCAAGGAAATGGGCAGATGCCTCTGTCTTCCATTCCAGGGTTCACAGCCCCAGCAGGGACACCTAGGGATACCCTAACCCACAGAGAAGGAGACAAAGCTATCTCTGACCCAAGACACCCTCCGTCCCAAGTTGCCACAATAAACATGCATCTCCATTAGGTTTCTGTTGTGAATGGGCCCCTCTAGATGTGCACAACCTGTGTAACTGTACATGAAGGTGCTTACCCTCACCTCCCAATGTCAACAAATACAGCAGTTTAAGATCATTTTATTGAAGAGCAAGAGGTGGGAGAGGTAAGGGGCAACTACAATCCCCCACCAGCCCCACCAGGGGGAATGGACCCCTCCCTGCCTCCTGCCCAAGTGGCTCCCCCTGTACTAAGGGGGGGACTTTGTGCAAACTCTGCCCCGAGGGGGTGGGGAGGGTGGAGGGTGAGTGTGAAATGGCAGCGGTTGGGGCTGGCAGCAGTGCTACTGGGCACTGGGGGGCTTGTAGGGCTCCAGGAGGAGGGCTGAGAAGGTGTTGACCTTGTCTGCCCCCCGCACCTCATGGGGTAACAGCGGCAGCTTCACGATATGGAAGTCTTCATACAGGTCCTCCATCTGCAGCCAGGGCAGAGGGTAGAAGGCAGTGGTCAGCGGGCAGGAAGGCAGAGACGGAGTGTGGATCAATAGAAGGGGTTGAGCTAGGAGGCTTCCAGGGTCAGGGAGAGAATACAGGGCAAGAGCTTAAGGTGTCATAAGTGGGAGTTGGGTCAGTATGGTCAGAGATCACTGGGCTAGACCCCCTGTTCTCCAGGGTCACAGGACCTAGGCCAGGCCAGCCACAGTTCACTATGGCTGGGATAATGGTGAAGGATCTGAAATGTGGGGGCGAAGGGCAGGAGGCTAGGGCAGAGGGCTAAAAGGTAGAGCAAAAGGTCAGAGAATAAAGGGGCAGAGGTGCCTCTGCAGAGCCAGTGCTGGGTGGGTGGGCACACCTGGTCCAGATACTTGGCTTGGATCTTGTGGCGGGCCTCACACATCTTGCAGGGCTTCTCAGGGTCGGGGAAGACGAGCTGGTTGACAATGATGTTGTGTGTGTCAATCTTGCACTTGGCCAGCTCCTGGATCAGCCTCTCTGTCTCATATAGGGACAGGAACTCAGCAATGCATACACAGATGAAAGTTGTCTGCTCCTGCAGGGCACAAGAGAGGACAGTGAAGGGTGGGTTCTGGGGCTGTCCTCAGCCCCCTGGGCCTCTCACCACCTGCCAGACCACAACTCACAGGGTCCTTGAACTGTTCGCTGACGGAGCGGATGACAGGCAGCGTCTCCTCCAGCTTGGAGGCCAGCTGGTCTGCGTTCATGTCCCCCAGGCCCAGCATGTTGCACATCTGCAGGGAGGATGTGGAAGGGCTCAGAGCTTACCTGGGGCTCATTCAATCCCCTGGGTTGGGGTTTGCTAAACACCTGGGGGTACGCCACCACACCCAGCTAATTTTTGTACTTTTAGTAGACAGGGTTTCACCATTTTGGCCAGGCTGGTCTCGAACTCCTGACCTCAGGTGATCCACCTGCCTCAGCCTCCCAAAGTGTTGGGATTACAGGAATGAGCAACCTCGCCTGGCCTCAGCTTTGCCATTTCTGGGGAACCATGGCTAAGGGGCTTGACCTCCTGGAGCCTCAGTTTCCCGATCTCTAAACTTTACCTCCAAGACCTGTTGT